GTGCTAAGTGCCTCGTTCCACCAGTAGACTGGACGCCGTCTGTGTGTGTGTGTGTGTGTGTGTGTGTGTGTGTGTGTGTGTGTGTGTGTGTGTGTGTGTGTGTGTGTGTGTGTGTGTGTGTGTGTGTGTGTGTGTGTGTGTGTGTGTGTGTGTGTGTGTGTGTGTGTGTGTGTTTGTGTATTCCCTCTAACCCCCACTGTTGGTAGTGTTATCAACAATCAATACGAAACTAACGATTTTAAATTGGCTCATTACTTGACTAGCCCATTGGTCCCAAGCAAACAATTAACGTACCCCATTCTAGTCGAAATTCTATTACTACACAATGTTTGTTTTGATTCGCTATGAAAGTTTGACAGATAAAATGAGGGGTTAGTGGATTTTCCTATGTTTCGAGGGGTGAATCGATTAGCTTGGGACCGAAGATAGTACCAGAGCTGAGCCAGAAAGTTGAGCTCGTTTCTTCGTTACCTCTATGGTGTTATTATGGAAGAACTCTCTCTACAATGTCGCATTTATGGTCATTGTAGACAGCTTTAGTCCGGGAGTTAAAAGGTGATAGCTCTATTGCAGATCCAGCAACCCATTTCAGATTGTCTGGAGAGTCACGCCCATTCCGAGGTTACTTTCACTTACAATAAACCCCGTATGTATGCATCACCGTTACCAAATGGATATTGGTCTTACATACACGCTTCCAGGCTCGAATATATTCTTTTCAAACCTGACAAGTATTTAGTTTATGTTTTTTTAATTGTAAAATGTATTTGGGCTGGTCTCACTATGTTAATTTGATCCTCCAATCCATTGGTTCCGTAATTTTGATTTTCTCTAAGCTTTGCATCTCATTTCGTGATGTACCTTTGTCGTAATACTTCCTTTAACTCGATTCTAGATAATTTAATTCTAGATGCTCAAAAAATCTCACACTAGCGAATCAATATTCGAAAAATCATCTTTCATTTCTCGCATCTGGAAGTTGCGGCTTACTTACCAGCCTATAGCTGGCCCGATCACCGGACCAACTACTCGCCGTAGATGGTCCCGGAAGTCACCGCAGTGCACTACCCAGGCGAACGCTCCTTCGGTTCGGCCTGCTTCGTCCCTCCCTGGCTCTTAACTGCGGTGGCGAGACTGGCTCTACTGGCTGAGCCACCGCAGTGAGAACGGTGGGTGTGCGGGGATCCTTGGGGTTTAGCCGGGAAGCGGAAAAATCCTCGAAATTTAGCTTCCCTTGGCGGCGATCCGACACCCTTCACTTCAGCTCACGAACCACGGCACTTTTCGGGGAAACGACGTCACTTCCATGCGACGATGCTGGGAATTATCCCTCCAGCGGACACACGCCACGAAAACGGCACTCCAACTTCACGTTTTCACTAAAACGGACGGGGCAATAAAACGCGTCGTAATCAAACCGTGGTTCGTAACTTTTTTTCCGTACTAGCTGACAATCACGGACAATACAACCACAAACGAAGTGATAGACGGAGCGGCTCGAAAACTTTGGTGACTAACCTGCTATTGCAATTTTTCAGTGTACCACACGGCAACACCACTACTACTGGATTGTACCACATGGCAACACTACTACCATAGAGGTAACTCTAAGACCACTGGGTCCCGAAGAAAATCATTATTATTTTTGGCTCACTCAGTACCAGAACAACGGTCCCAAGCAGTCCCAAGCTATTTCACTCACCCCTGCATGTTCTGCATGAATCCACACACCCCTGATGTTATCTGTCAAACTTTCATAGCGAATCAAAACAAACATAGTGTAGTAATAGAATTTCAACTAGAATAGGGTATGTTAATCGTTTGCTTGGGACCAATAGGCTACTAAAGTGGTGAGCCAATTTAAAATCGTTAGTTTCGTATTGATTGTTGCTACTACTGGATTGAACTAGCATTTTCTCCAAATGTACTAGAATGTTTTGGTTCTATCTCTTTCACTCTACTCAAAACTGAAATGCATAAAAAAATGACAAAATAATACGCACTCAGAATCATTGTACACAAAATCAACTTTGTGCAAAACCAAAACAAAAATACTATCCCATCTGGTGGATGATGGCAGAAGCTTCTAAGAAAATTCTATTACAGCGAACCACATTATTTTAATTGATTTCTTCGCCAGTTAGTCGTCTGTCACTTCGTTTGTGATACAACAACCGCCATCGTTCTCCTGCAACCGCGCTCAAATGTTGTGCTGCTTATGTTTTTCGCCTTTTTTTGCAGCGGGAGGAGAAACGGGACCTAACTTTATTCTACACGCGAGACGATTTTAAACGATAATTATTACACTATATTCTAATCCTAAAAACATGCTTACACGAATAAAATCTACTATGAAAATAACAAATAAAAATATTTACAAATAAAGCAGTGGTGAGTATGTTGCCGAGTGTGCGGCCAAAACAAAAACAAATCATAAAAGACAAGACACACGCTCATGGCAAACACAATAAAAGGGTGGGTTATTAATTGTCACCCTAGACGAGGGTTACACATCTACTTGTATCGCGCTTCATCTTTTTGCAGGAAATCTTCAAAATCGACATAAATCTTCCTTCTATCTACTCAGCGTGCGTGCAGCTAACCACTGCAAAACACAATCTTTTCTACATCGTAGATAGAGTCGTCCCCCTCGCTTTAACCACAAACGAAGTGACAGATGACTAACTGGCGAAGAAATCCATTAAAATAATGTTGTTCACTGTAATAGAATTTTCTTGGAAGCTTGTGCCATCATCCACCAGATGGGTTAGTTTTTTTTTTTTTTTTATTTGAACAAAGTTGATTTTGTGTATAATGATTCTTTGACAGTGTGCAAAGAGCGTATCATTTTGTCATTTTTTTTATGCATTTCAGTTTTGAGTAGAGTGAAAGAGATAGAACCAAAACATTGGCAAATCAAAGTTGGCACTCGTGGAGAATAGAAGAACTATGAGAGTGATGATGGTTTCCAAATTTTACACGGTGAGGTATACGAGTGCAATCTTAAAATGCTATTATTTTGCAAATTGAGCATTTTATTTAAATCTGGTTAATGTTACGTTAGTAGAAAACTAAAGGACTACTCAAAAGACATATACTATAGAAAAAATAATTTCTTTTCAGATTTTTATGTGTAGACATAGATTTCAGCTTTTCTACCACTGTAGCAGAAAGCAGATTTAAATAAAATGCTCCATTTGCAAAATAAAAGCATTTTAAGATTGCACTCGTATACCTCTCCGTGGAAAATTTTGAAACCATCATCACTTTCATAGTTCTTCTATTCTCCACTAGTGCCAACTTTGATTTGCCAATTCTAATACATTTGGTGAAAATGCTAGTACAATCCAGTAGCAGTGTTGCCATGTGGTACAATCCAGTAGTAGTGGCACAAACGAAGTGACAGACGGAGCGGCTCGAAAACTTTGGTGACTAACCTGCTATTGCAATTTTTCAGTGTACCACATGGCAACACCACTACTACTGGATTGTACCACATGGTAACACTACTACTAGATTGAACTAGCATTTTCACCAAATGTACTAGAATGTTTTGGTTCTATCTCTTTCACTCTACTCAAAACTGAAATGCACAAAAAAAATTACAAAATGATACGCACTCTTTGCACACTGTCAAAGAATCATTGTACCACAGACAAACAGACATAACGCATTGAATATTTCTCACTGTAAAACATCGTCGCTAAAACATTACCGCCATCTGTTGAGTACACTGTGGTGGGTAGTACGCTGAACAGATGGCGGTAGTGTGTAAACGTCAAACGCAAGAGAATTGACTATGCGCGCTACAGGTGGCGGTACTACCAACTACGATACTTTTTAATTGACCGTTAAATGCTTGTTCGATGAACAACTTGCGAGTGTTATGTCTGTTTGTCTGTGATTGTACACAAAATCAACTTTGTTCAAATCAAAACAAAAAAACTAACCCATGTGGATGCCAAATCAAAGTTGGCACTCGTGGAGAATAGAAGAACTATGAAAGTGATGATGGTTTCAAAATTTTCCACGGCGAGGTATAAGAATTCAATCTTAAAATGCTTTTATTTTGCAAATGGAGCATTTTATTTAATTCTGGTTGCTGCTACAGTGGTAGAAAAATTAAAATCTATGTATACACCTAAAAATCAGAAAAGATATTATTTTTTCTATGTTATATGTCTTTTGAGTAGTCCTTAAGTTTTCTACTAACGTAGCATTAACCAGATTAAAATAAAATGCTTCATTTGCAAAATAAAAGCATTTTAAGATTGCACTCGTATACCTCACCTTGTCAAATTTTGAAACCATCATCACACTCATAGTTCATCTATTCTCCACGAGTGCCAACTTTGATGTGCCAATATTAGTCATATGAATTTGTATTCGGAATCCTTTTGATTTGTCCCTACTTAACCTTTGTTGTCAATTTTTTTCCCGTAGGTAAAAATCTCATGAATAAAGCATTAAAAAAAATCTTGTTGTTGCACCAAAGTTCTACTAATCCTTTTTAAATACGGTAATTTGTGAACTCTTTAAGGTATAACCTTAAGACATCTAATGATTTCATAATTCCGAAAATAAATTATAGCGAAATGAGTGGAAACAACCCTATTGTCTGAGCTGCAGCGAAGTGGAAAGAGGATCAGCAAACTAGCCGACACCGTCATTACGGGTCAGGAAAGTATTGACGAACTAGTGCTGAGCAGTAGGAGTTTCGGATCGAGTCGACGTGAAAATTTGTGGATTTGTTAAAGGATTGTTAATTGTTTAAATAGCCCTTAAACTACCTACTAGAAGCTTTTTTTTTTCTTGATTGTGTTTTCCGTCGATCTTGTTTTCTGTGCTGAGCACCAATGCTACCGACGCCAGGGAGGCAGCTCCCACACCTGGACCCTACCTATCGACCCATCAACTTATGAACCGGGACCCAACGGCGTGATGAAAAAAGATGTTATGCCTCAGAACATACCGGCGGCGCCGACTGGGATTGAACCCAGGTCTGCTGGGGTGAGAGGTAATCAAACTTACCACTGGCACCACTATTATAAGCTAAACTGCAATGAGCTTGGAAGTTATGTAGTATTTGAAGTGTATTATTCTATTCATGCTAAAATACATTTTGTGACAGCCGAGTTTACGGTAAAAACGCCACTTATTCCTTCACTTCATTTCCCACCCATCGGCCCATGGATCATCCGATAGTACATCAAATATTCACTCTCATACTCGCGATAATTTCTTCCGTTGAACAATTTTTTCGGTGGGACGTACTCCCGCAGTGGATTTGCCAGGACAAAGCTATAATAAATACGCCCCTTGTCGATCACCTCCCTGGTATTCGTGGCAACTGCGTCTATTTCATCCAAATGTTGACATATTTTAACGTGATTGGCTTTCCACAAATGCTGATAGTGTGCGTCGTCGACCACTGCCTGGTCCATTTCCGGTTTCAGATCGATCATAAACGTTTTGATGAATTCATCGAACTTGATCACGGTTTTCATCTCTTGCAGAGAGCATTCAGCAGACGAGAAGCAGTTGGGCAGAAGGGTCAGCAATGAGCTGAAATCATTTTTCATCAACAAGCAAGTTTTTAGCGAGAAAATTGAACATTTACTAGGTCGATAGAACCTGCTGAATGGAGTTTCTGACAATACTGTAAGTTCGCCGCTGTAAGGAGGCAGACTGGCTGGGGAATAGGCAGGTCCATTGGAGAGAGCATTGCTTTCAAATCGGGTGACATTCATTGACTGGTCTAAGAAGGTTAGCGATTGATTGGTCGTTTTTTGCCTCATGTTGTGGACGGTGTAACGGCTGTAACGCTGGACATATGAGATCTTTTCCTTAATTTGATTAAGTTGTTGAATTTCCTCTTGGATTCGTTCGGAGTATGAGTCGATTTCTCCGTAAATTACACGCAACTGAGAAAGCACTTGTTCCTGATTCTCTAGCTTGGAACTTTGTAGCTTGATTTCTTGCTTCTTTTTATCGATTTCTTTGCTGATGAATTCGAGCTGACCCTGGTTATAGTCCTTAGATGTGGATTGGAACATATAATCTTCCAGAATTTCGTCGGCTTCATCATCCATCATATTCAAAAGGTTCATTTTAGTCTCCAGCGTCTGCGCGAACGGTGTATATTTTGCAAGGTAGTCGTCTTTCATTGTTTGGATCGCTCGTTTCTTCGCAACCAGATCAATGAACAAATTGATATGGGACCCACAAAGCTTGGCCATATTAATTTGCAGCAGATCCTGATCTGATAAAGCATTCTCCTTCTCAAATTCATTCTGCTGACGATCGGCTTCGGAAATCTCCAAGAGTTGTTTCTCCTTTATGTCCATCAGTGCACTCCACAGAAGATAGTTTGGAATACCTCTCAGTACTGTCCTTATGTTGGCCCACAATTTCTGCTGAGCTTGCTTACTGCCCTCTTGTTTAAGTTCAGTAAACTTTGAGTAAAAACTATCTAAATACTTGTGGCAAGCCTGGATGGCATCGACCACATCGGACTTCGATTTAGTTGATTCCGTCGCTTTTGTTGGCATTGATCGTTCAATCATTTGCTTGATCTCGATTTCCTTTTCGGATATTTTGAACAGGGAATTGTCCACTGCTTTGTAGAAAGCAAGCTTGTCCTTAATTTCACATACTTTGGCATTCACTTGCACCTTTTGAATATCTGAAAAAAACATAAAGGAACCGATTATAAATCGACCATAGGCCAACGTATACCTAAGGGGTTGGTCATAAACTACGTAGACACTTTAGGATAGTGTCTACGATTCATATAAAATTTACAAAAAGTTGTATGGACGACAATCAACCAACTTTCCAGCAGTTGATTTGCGTGGACGGCTCACGCTTGGCGAGGAAATGGCTTACAAAATTTTGTATACAAAAGCTAATAAGCCCTTTTCAATTGTTTGTCGAGGATTGTCTACTCAGGTTGGGGGTGTTAAGGAGTACTCAAAAACGGTCTACGTAGTTTATGAACAGTCCCTAATGTTAATCCTACTTTTCTGTTTGATTTTTTCAGTTAATGTTTCGAGTGATGCTTTTGACTTTGAAATCCTGGCCTCCGTTTCAGAGCATTTGTTTTTCAGCTTCTCAATTTTCTCAAACCGTTGAAGTTCCTCCGGCATTTGAGTCATTTTTGATTTCTAAAAAGAACAACAATGTCTCAAAAAATAATTTATTGTGATTTTTCCACCCATAAATATGCAACAATATAGGTATAAGCTTACCGTTAGAACACCTCCAAGTGCTTCATATTGCCTAAGTTTGGCCACAAGGATATTGTTGCGCATAGATTCTATTTCTTGCCGGGGTCGTATTCCTGATACAATCTGCTGAAACAAAATACTCTGTTTGCCTCGGATGCATCTGGAAAGCAAAATAAAATTTCCATGATTCGACTAAACAGCACAAGGTAATCCAGAATTACTTTTTCAACGATTCATCCGAGGGTATTTTCTCCAACGGACAACCCATTTTGGTTGCCCAAAGCTTGAATCGAACTATTTCATCAGAAAGCGACATTTTGACCACAAATATTTTGGAAAATTCGCAAAACTTCACCAGATCGGCACTTTTTTTTAACAAATTTCACGATCAAATACTCAACCGACAACAGAAATGACGTTAATAGCTGTTGAAACTGCAACGGAGAAACTGCAGGTGGCGCACATCAATAAATAGTAAAGACATCAACCGCGGTGTTGATCCATTAGTTCGAAACATTTTTAACGAAACATATAGCTTTTATACGCTATACGGCTGTTGAGACTTCTCAGTTCTTACTGTTTTTACTCAGGAGTATTTGAAATTTCTACACTCTATTGACAAATCCAAGTTTGAATCAGCAATCGTGGCACTGCAATCAAGTATTTAATTATTTATCCACACCGAAAATAGTTTTCATGTAGCTTCCATTGGAAACGCACATGATTTTCATCCATAATGAAAATTCAGTGTCAACATTTCAAAGGGGCGTAATTGCTTTTGTAAACAATGACTTTAGTCGTCAATTTCTAGCGAATGATATCTTACCTCTCCAAAATTACAATGCTAGCTGGTAGAGGAAACATTCCTCTACCTGGTGGTGTTATTATTTTTCATGAGTGAGCTTTTATTTGCAAGAAATCTATGGCTAAAGCCATTGTTTACAAATGCAATTACGCCCCTTTGAAATGTTGGCACTGAATTAATGGAATTCATTTGAATTTCACATAACATTTTTGCGATCATATTAATTTTATATGATTTTTCATATGAATTTCATCGGCCTCATAATATTCATGTGATCTTGTGTTGAGATTTGCAGTTATGTGATCACAAGAAAGCTATGTGCAATTCACATGGATTGCATCCATTAGATATGTGATAAATTTTATGATAAATTTTAATTATAAAGTTATAATAGATATTTTGATCAATAGAAGGAGATTGGGCCTACTAAAAAAAAAAAATAAACGAGTGACCTTGATATCCAACGTCATACATAATATTATTAGTGAAACCCTCGGTGAAACCTTAAATGAATTGCTGAAAAAGTCTCCGATTGATCAACATGTATGGAAAATGGATGTAATACCGGCCTAAATGCCCCTAATTTAGGCCCATACATAAATTCAGCATGCGACTAAATTTTCAATCCAGCATTTTACGAGCACTGAGTTTCTGGTAGGGGTTGATGCATATATTATTTTACACTCTAGGGGGGGGGGGTCTAAGATTTTGTGACATACGTTATTTCAAAACTACCCAAACTTGGGTTGAATCCACACAGATCGGTCGAAACTGAACCTACCCAACACAAGTTGACAAATGAAAAACATCGACATGAATGCGATCGACGTTGTTAATTTGTCAACTTGTCACTTCCAACATAGTTTACCCATTTTTTTGGTAGGTTCAGTTTTGACAGATCTGAGAGGATTTTACCCAAATTTTGGTAGTTTTTAATAGCGTGCAAGCATTGTATTAGGTACACTCAAAATTATTACTAATCAAAGGAAGATTAAAATTTTGTCTATTTTTGGTTTGTCAATATTTATACGTTGATCTGATTAAAATTCGCTTTGAAATTATACTAAATCCGAATAACAGCTTATAATTCGCTCAGAAGTATTGAATTGTGTAAGAAGCACATATGGCACAGTCAAGGACCACTAAAAATCTCTTCTGGTTGACATCGAGGGTCAATCTGTCTTGTATGACATTTAAACCACCAAGTCCGAACTCAGCTCAATCTGCGAAAGGAAACCAAACCGATCGAGCCTGTTTTCGATCCACGAGCGACCACTAGAAGATGAACACCAACTTAACTTTCTCGGTGCTGGTTGCAGTAGCAATGGTATGGTGTCCGTTGTTCCATCGTCTCCAAATATACCGGAAGTGTGCTCGGTGAAGCCAATCAGGCATTGGATTGTTCAGGTCATAATTACCGGGAATCAATTTAATCGTTGCCGGATTTTATGAACAAGTTACTTAATTTATAAGTTAAGTAGATATGGTCAATGGACAATGTTCATTGTAAAGATTATGCTGTATCAAATGATAAATTTGTTTTTAATAAAATAGTATTGATAATTTTTATGTTTAATGTTGATATACATATGAAAATAGAACCAAAAATATTAATTTCCTTGAATAAACCGCATTTATACATTGCAAGTATATTCCTGTGTCATACTATGGCACGCATAAACCATTTGTATACTAAGTTCATATTCTCTCCCTTTATACCAACCTATGCGTCGGCAAGGAGAGTTGTGATTTAGCGTAGCTTTTATACTATTTAGATTTTAATATTTTTTGAGTGTATAGAAAAAACGTCACGATAGGGGGGGGGGGGTAAATTTTTCCTCGATTTAGCGTGACATAATTAATGCATGGGCAGGAACATTCGATTTGATGTTTGGGTTATGTCGTTTGACGAATAAACGATCAAATTTGACCGTTTACAGCTTAAACGACACAAGCCAAACTTCAAATCATATGTTCCCCACCAGACACTCAACCAGATTGTGGCGGCCATGAGCGCTCGTGAGGTAACTCTAAGACTAGTAGGTTCCGAAGAAACGTGCTCAACTTTTTGGCTCAGCTCTGGTACTATCTTCGGTCCCAAGCTAATCGATGCACTCCTCGAAACATAGGAAAATCCTCAAAACATAGGAAAATCCTCGAACCCCTTATTTTATCTGTCAAACTTTCATAGAGAATCAAAACAAACATAGTGTAGTACCAGAATGTCAACTAGAACGGGATACGTTAATCGATTTGCTTGCGACCAATAGGCTAGTCAAGTAGTGAGTCAATTTAAAATCGTTAGTTTCCACCGGTTTATGAAACCCTTTTTACGAAAGTAGCTTCCAACTATCTTTCAGCATCTTTAAGGTGAAAATTACGATACCACAATTTGTCACCGGGGATAATATTCTTAAAACTATCCTCAACTGCTTTGTTGCGTTTCGAGGTCAAAGTTTCGTTGAGAATCCTTCTTATGCGGTGCCAAATAGTTTTTGTAATGATGTTTGGGATTCAAAAGGTCCAAAAGAGTTTTAGCGAAGACAACAAATCAAAAAGACTGGCAAATCTTCCATTTTCTCATACGAACGCTATGAGACAGGTACAATCGTGTCATCTGCTGCTCAAAGGTAAATGCTTCGAACTAAAGAGCCTGAATTTATAAAGAGACGACATCTTATCCATTTGTAAGGTCTTCTGCTAGATTGGAATAACTTTTCCTATGACTTTGACAGATAATCGATTGTTCCAATTTTGACAAGTCGTCTCTTTATAAATTCAGGCTCTTTACTTCGAACGAATTTGATAGCAAAGATTACATCCTCAGATGAAGGGTCTGTGTATTTGCTAATTTGTCTATGCGTTGCTTCCACCTTGCTTGATTTGTTGTCTTCGGTTTTAGGCTTGTAAGCAACGACATGTTCTGCAGGAAACTTACCACTTTTTGTAAAACAACTGTTCCTGTAGTTCATCAGTTCAGTTGGTCATCTATGTCAGAAAACTTTTGTTTAGAATCTAGTAAAAACGTTTTGAAAACATCCTTCACGCTTGGCCGTTGCTGCCCGGATGGTAAGGCGGACTTTTGAGTACCACTTTTGACAAATCCAAGTTTCAATCGGTCACGTGATAAATCCCAAATAATGTCACTGACAAACCGACATGAATGACCATAGCAAAAACAATAAAATTTCTGACCAAAGCACACTACTGACATCTGGCTCCGTGTTCACGGGAGTTATTTAGCTAAACCATGAACCCGCATGCAAAAGTTATGAATTGGTTCGTGTCTGATCTATTCTGTACAAATTATTTTTATCTAGATAAAAAAAATCCTATGGTTTTGACAGTTCGGATCACTGCACATTTAAATCGGCCGTTTACGATTTTCGGGCATAAGTCAGAATTAAGTGTCATGTCGGATTGTCGGTGATAATGTGTCAAACTGAATACATTTTTGAAATTTCAACCAAAAAACTATTATTTTCTATTTATTCTAGCGAGTTTCTGTGGAAGTCAAAACATGATCCGAGCAAAAAAGTAGTACTCGTAATAATGGCAGTATATAATGCTGAATTTTATCGAAAATATCTTTCAAATAAACAAACATCATCCAAATCACCCGATTTGTCCACCGACTAAATTTATTGCCATTTAAAAATTAATTTCAGTTGGAGTATTAATCAGCAGATCTAATGATTTCAAACCTTAACATGTTTTCTGTTATATATTAGTCTGAAGGTAGCTTTTTATTTAGGAACAATGCATTACAAAATAGTTATGCATTTTGTACAAGATTCATCCATACTGACAAGAAATTTGCATGAAATTACATTGAAATTAAACAATTTTGCAAACAATCAATGAAATTTTCAAGGGCTGTCACAGACTTATCACCGTCGGTTAGTGCTAATTCCTGCTACCAGGCGCGCAGGAGTTTAAGTTGGATTTCTCAATTCGTTGCCTTTGCATGAAGGACTAATTAAAGGGAAGTCCACTATCGGTCACAAGGACATCTGGTGAACCAAATCTAAAAAAAACACGTTTACAAATTTATTTACAGCTTTTTTTGTAGTTGTTCTATACAGATGTATTCTTCGATGCAATCGGTTTACATTATTTGACAAATCATGACAGCAGTAGGTCTTTTTTCTTCAAACTGTTTTCAATAATCAAACGTTTGTGAATTGCACAAGTATTAGTGCAGAACTTTGGGTAAATTCAATGGTTTTCTTGCACTAATACTTATAATTTAACCCAAGTTCTGCACTAATGCTTGTGCATTTAACAAACGTCAGAGAAGTCTTTTTTCCTCTAATTTCTCTTTGATGCCCCTGTTGGGATGTTCCTTATTTGCGACAGCCCTCTTTTGCTTCTAGGTAGCAATTTTAGTGTGTTTGAGTTGTGTGTACTTTAACAGTTTAAAAATTTTGTTCTTGGTTTTATTTTCTATATACAATATTTTAACTTGCAGAGTGTGCATGCCATTTTATATTCCTAGCTAGTAGTTTATGGTTTATGGTAATGGTTCCTAACAACCCATTATTTGTAAGGTTCACTTCCGAAAAACCATTAAACATAAGGTTAAAACTTTATCACACAAACGTTCACGTAAAGTTCCATAACAATTTCAGTTAAAGATTAGCAGGAATTATAAACAATGTTAAGCCAATTTTGGTAAGGTCAAGCAATGGTTCGCATTTAGGCGGGTAACATAACACAACATTGAATGAAGTTTGTTACAATCAATTAACACTGAGGCTTTGTTCATGAATTTTCACTTTAATTTGACAGATGGAAAATTTCAAATAAACCTGCTATTGTACCAGACGTATTCCTGACCGACCAGGAATAAATTTTGACAAACACCTTCTTGAAAATCATATCAGAGAGACATTTTCATTTATTTTCGAAATGTCAAATTTTAGTGAAAATTCACCAAATGAAACACAGCCTGAATTATCGGCTCCGTAAAGCTAAAGTGAATGATGGAAGGCAAAATAGATAGGCCGAATGCCATCATATCGCTCCCAAGCCTATTTTGACGTAATACTACGTCTGTGATTTCTATATAAGGGTGCACTTTGTGAAAACCGAAAATGGAACATGTAACGAAATTATGAAAGATTTTGAACGTTAATAACTCAGCTGCCCCTGAACCAATTTTAATTATGTTATCACAAATCGATCAGAAATATTTCTACGCATCGATAACAATGCTGCCTGTTGATTTTCAATAAGAAACTTTTGAAAAAGTGGTAAATGTCAAGCATTGTCCAAAACCGGCGAAATAACTTACAAATTTACCGATAACGTACATGCATATGCTGCTTCCCCCACACTGTCATCAGAGAGTCGTTAGTAGACGAAACAAGCCGAAGTGGCATATGCCTCCGATCTTCGGTCGTGTGCGAATAGAGAGGATACAGTCAACAATCAATTCGAAACTAACGATTTTAAATTGGCTCACTACTTGACTAGCCTATTGGTCCCAAGCAAATCGATTACCGTACCCCATTCTAGTATAAATTCCAGTACTACACTATGTTTGTTTTGATTCGCTATGAAAGTTTGACAGATAAAATGAGGGGTTAGTGGATTCTCTTATATTTCGAGGGGTGAATCTTGGGACCGAAGATAGTACGAGAGCTGAGCCAAAGAGTTGAGCACGATTCTTCGGGACCTTCTGGTCTTAGAGTTACCTCTATGATACAATTGCGTAACATTTTGCACACTCATCGCCATATTCAGAATCACACGCCCCCAACGGTCATATAAAATGCTCTCCAGTGTTGTAATCTTGTAATCAAACTTGGAAGCAGGGGTGCAAGTGATTTTGATCGATTCTCATCGATTGACTTTCTGTTTCGTTGATAACTCAAAAAATCCAATCTCACCAACGCCCAAGATCACGCTTGATTTTCGTAGATCAAAAACCAACAAGCAAACAACTGTGGTTGATTTTGCCAGCTGTGAAGCTGTGATATCGCAGCTCGGAATATCATGCTAACAAAACTCACCAGCTGCAAATCTCAACAAACTGTGGTGAGATTGAGTTGCATGATTTTTGCTTTACACCCGAATGCAACCGAAACTTCCATAACGGCTCGCAACAGTCACTTCGTGTCTGCCATCGGTGAAGAGTAAGAAAACGATGTGCAACGGAATCATTTTTGTGTCGAGTCAACTCTCAGCTTGATTTTTGCAGGTTGTGAATAGTCTCGCAATATCAAAGGAGCTTGTAAAATCAATATCAAGCATGATGTTTTGTTCCAATATCACGCGTGATATTGCGAGCGCATGAGAGCGGAAACGCACAAATGTTATCTACTTTTCTCGAGGTTCTACGTCACAATTGCATATAGGGCTGTCTCTTGTAGTTTTTTTTTTTTAAATAAAATCTATCCCCAGAAGTGACGCTCCCCCTAGTTAGATATTTTTGAAGATGTGTGATCGCCTCAGAAAAATTCTAACGACCTCGGCTAGGATTGATCACACTGGGGTAATTAGACTCACGCTTACCAATCAACCACCGGTGCCGTCAATGTTGAGAATTCAACGGGCATAATTTAAAATGGTTATCATGTGTCTTTTTTCTGGATCCCTGACTTTACTCTTACTGTAAATTCAGGATTTTCCATGGTTTTTTATGCCTCGTCATTATTTTCGGGTGTCCCATAGCTCATTTAGTGAAGATAAATAAAAGTTCATCCATGCGGGAAATGTAAGGTTCTTTTACAACTTTCTTTAAAAGATTTACAGATTATGTAATTTGTAATTTGTGGTGTGATGTGAAATTAGGAACTCGGTGGCCTTATAGCGTCTTTTTAAGCGTGCCGAGCAGAACATCATGGGTTTAATCTCACCCGCATAAACAATAACCATAAGATGCGCCTAACCACCAATTCGGGATATCATCCCAATTTTATGTGGTATGGTCGCACCATCTAAGATATCGTCAGTATATGGTACACGTTTATTAGGGCAGGCACCTTCAAATTCAATGCGAAAAAAAAATCCTTAACCAGTTTTACGTGTGGCTCATTCCTGTTTATACTTACTTCTTTTAAAATTTAGCTCTGGACAAATAACCACCTATCTACCTCTCCACATTTGTGTTATTGATCTGCGTCAAAGGCTTCGGTGTTACGAAAGACCACGGTTGATGAGCAAAATCGCAAAACGGGAATCGCGCAGGGAAGATTTGCATGATCATCGCATCTCAGTGACGAGTTGAGGCACAAGACCCAAGCTTGACAAAAGCATTAAGAAGTCTGGATTGCGATCGGATCTATTCAGTGCGAGTCGATCTCTCGAGCGCGCAACAACGTTTCGATTGTGATACACCAGTGATTTACAAAATTATAGAATAAAAACCTTCGCATTAGGAAGTGTGTGACGGCTCAAGCAAGTGTTATATGTGCTAATCAATCAGTTGAGATCCGACACCCGTTAGTTTGATACAACTGCTCGTTGTGAGAAAATTCATACTGCACCTGGCTGATTAACGATTGATAGAGCAAAATGATCTCGAAAGGTTTAGTGACGGTTCTAGCGGTGGCAGTGCTGGCCCAAGTTGCATGTGGTTTACCGGCTCCGCAAGTAAGTCTGACTCCTGTCTGTGTTGTAGATACATTTTTTCCCAGCTTGGTAACATCGGAAGAGTTCAGCAAAACGTGTTCGGGCTATAGGTGAAACGCTAATATAATTATGCGAATCGATAAAAGCCACTAGACCGGGAGAAACTTTTGCACCCACGTTTATAATTCGGCATGCATATTTACAAAATGCGTAGGAGTGAAGAAGCACAGAAGCGATAAAAATGCAATGTGCTTACACTAAAATTTTAAGATTCTCCACTAATAAAAGTCGATTTGCACCGCTGAGGGATGATCAGGAGCCTTATTTAAGTAATGTTGCAAATCTGAACTAAAATAAAAATAAACTCCCGTCACTAAAATGTTATCACTTCTCACAGTTAACACAAAATTAGCGGACTAAGTTCTCCAGATTTGCTTGTATAGTGGTGTTGAGTAAAGGTTTCCTCATATCGTATAACGTTTGAATACAGCTTGTGGCTGAATAAATGAAATGAGTAAAGCGTTTACATTGCGAAATTTTTTAATTGAGTATACTTTACCCAACAAACAATTCAGAGTCAGAAATAAGCATTTATATTGAATTAATGCTGTATTTTTTTCCTCTGTTCTGAACCTAACACCACTGCGACCAGTAATTTGATCTATTGTAGTATATACCGTTTCCTTAGTTTAGTGCATGTCGTATTACTCCATCACTATTGAGAAATTATGAAGTACATATTCGATTTTTTCACAGTTGTCATTCTTGCATTTATCGCAAGGATCCGACTCTAAAGCTGGGTTTAGATAGGGCAAGTCAAATGATCAACTCAGTTGAATTCAATTGGCTTGCAAAGTTGAGCCTGGTTCAACTTTTTTCAATTCAAGTGAGTTGATCAAGTCAGTTGAATGGCATGGTTTACACGTTCAATTCGCGTTCAAGTCAGTTGAATTCAACTGACTTGATCAATTGACTTGCCCTGTTTAAACCCAGCTTAATTGAAAGGTTCCGCTATGTATACCCTTTGCCAGTCAAAATTGGATTCCTTAGCAACAAAATAAAGGAATGACACCGATAATGACCATGCATCAGAACCCTTGTCTTAACCGCTTCAAACTAGAACAACGAATAGAAGATTAGGAATCACGTAGATGAAGACTAACTAACTCATTTTTCCTTGTTTCAAGATCATCCTCGGTGGACAAAGCCGAGTCTTGGCACTATCAATAAGGCATAAAAAGTAACAAGGACTAAGATGTGTTCCTTGGATTACTGAAAAATCCTATTCCCCTAGTTTGAAGTAGTAAGGACTAGGAATCGGTGGTAGATCTTACATCCCGTAACTTAACACGAATAGGTGATCTACCCACGTTACGGGGCATTAATGCTGTATAACAGTGTACAATGCTGAATAAAACGGGTTGTCGATTTGTGTGCTGAAAAAAGCTCATTGAGATCTATAGGTGCACCTTTATTCCGCTGTTTGCTCTGATCTGATTAATATACTTTTTAAAAGCCTTATAAACGTTGACTGTCTTCCCGATTCAACACTGATCTAAAAACAAACTAAATAAGTGTAATTTGCACATACATCGACGCTTTAAATCGACACTTTTCAAATGATTTAATAACATGCTTTATTAGAGGTCTAATAAATGTTTTCTAGCTCCATTATTAGATTGTACTGCATTGGTTTACAATATTGCTGAATAAAGGTGGATTCAGTCAGCATAAAAGCTCTTATAGCACTATGCGTCCATGTTGTAATCGCATGCTTTGTAAATGCTTTATAAACGACGTTTTAGATTTATTATTCCACAACACTAGATCAGCCCAACAACAAGACACAATCAGTAGAATAGTGGTTACCGGTTCCACTTTCTAAGTAGAAGGTCGCAAGTTCAATCTAAAACTTAACCCTTATTTTATTTGTGTGCTTCACCTAATTAATTTAAATCGTAATCATCGATCACATCACTCACGACAGTTAATTCATTGATCTAGTTTAAAAAATTGGTGGGGTAGTGTACAGGGTGCGTGACGAATTTTTGGAGTAAATTTCAAATAGTAATTTCTCATGCTTGTGCATCATGATTTAGATATATTTGGCAGCACTGGATAGCTTATACTATTAGGTATATGATTTAAACAAACAATGTTGAGTAAACGTAAAGATGTCGAAACAAGAGAGCAATCTGTCAGCCGTTGTCACTTTGTTGCGCGCCGGAGTATGCATGAAAGAAATAATTCGGTCGGTAAATGTGTCTGAAAGAACAGTGTATAATATTAAAAAAAGGCTTGGGAAAGTGATAAGACGGAGCACCTGCTCATACTGCTAATAAAGCACAGAAATGGTTTACGGAAAATATTTCGTAAATTTGGGAGGAAGAAATTTGGCCCCCAAGCAGTCCCGATATCAATCCGTTGGATTATTTTGTATAGGGCGTCGTCCAACGGGATACCAATAGAACCCCTCACACCACACTTAAGTCGCTAAAAGCTAAAATCAAGGCAGTGATGACATCTATGGATCGAAACATTTTAAAACGTGCATACTGCAGTTTCCGGAAGCGTCTAACTACAGTCGTCGAAAGGGAAGGCAATTTTTTTGAATAAATTTACTTACAACTTCCATATGTTGCGAAAGAAAATAAATCGCACAAAATTCATTGCTAGAATAACTAACTGGTGTATTTTTTTCTCAAATATGCCATTTACTGCAAAAATTCACTAGAAGTAACCTATGATTTCAGTCCTATGTACATATTTTGGATTTCCTACTTAGTAAAACTTGGTTAAAGTCAGGACCTCATAAAAATGCGAATACATATTTTATTTCATTTGGTTCCTAAATTACAATCAGATACGAGTAAGGCTTTCTTCAGGTGATTCATTGAAGCGTCCAACAATGACCGTCACGATGGCTGATATTCCCTATCACTTCAAGATTTATAGGGCACAAATCTTGGACGGTTAAGACATCACTCATGAAATTGAAACTCCTTGTGTACTGGACTGCAACAAACGTGAAGTTCCAGTTTCTTTGTTATAAGTTTTGTGAGAGCAGATGTCTGTACTCTTGAAATTTTTATGTGGTAATGAGATTGATTCTCAGCGATTGTTGAAGTTCAATCGCTAAAAAATGAAAAAAACACACAAAAACGGAGTGCATAATTTTGCATCAATGTTATGCAACATTTTTTTCATAGTTGATCGAGATGATATCAATTAGCCATGAATCCCTCCAATAAGTTCTCGGTACATCTTTTATCTACCGATTGAACAAATAAAAAATACTAAGGCTGTGTTCCATTTGGAAAAAAATTACTTAGATTTGGCACTTCGAAAATAAATTAAGATGTTCGAAAATCCCTCTGTTGTAGATCGGTCGATTTTCGAGAAAGCGTCTGTCAAATTGATTCCTTGTCTTTCAGAAATAAGTCTGCTGGAATAGCAAATTTTCCATCTGTCAAATTTAAGTAAAAATTCACCAAATGGAACACAGCCTTAATAACTTGAGCACAGAATCGTTTCTTGTTGTGTTTGTCGTATTAAATGCTAGATTAAAACTTCTTTTGTGTGCTGAAAATACCTGGGCCGAGTGGATTCAACGAGAAAGTCGACGAAGAGAATCTTGTCAGTGTTACTAATGCAATGTTCAACTTGAATTAATCATTTCGTCCGACCACTTTCCACAGAGATGGCGCTGTTCCGCTGGTAGGAAGCGATAAAAATCCCCATATTTAAATTGAGAAATGTGGGAATAATTCGCTTTCGATGCATATTCAGTTAAAAAAAGTGAACGACAGTCTAAAGAAATTAGTCAGGGACACAGATTACAAAATAGAGTACCTGACACTACAAAACATGTCTGGTACCTCTATATACGCATTTACTTTAACATTTAGGTCCCTCCTTTTTTACATATTCATAAAATTGGCGGGATAAAAAAGAACAAAAAAAAAATAAAATTGGCGGGAAATTCTGTGAGGGGTGAGCTATTTTGTGTGCAGAATGTGTAAAAAAGGATTATCCGAAAAAAAAGGATCCGAATATTAATCTAAATGGATATATAGAGGTACCAGACATGTTTTGCACTGCAGTGTCCTCTGTGAACAATTAACGGGAAACAGATTGTGTGCAGGGCTACCAAAACTACAGATAAATCTGTACTCCTACAGATTTTCAGAGTTTTTAAAGCCAAGATTCTGCATTCACAGATTACAGATTTCTAGGATTTTAACAGATTACACAGATTTTTAAAATATGATCAAACATTTAATAAAATAAACTTGCTTTTTTGCGGAATGAAAAAGGAGAATGAGAACTGTCAGAGGTATTCTTTTTTGCCAATTTATGATACATATCTTTATATCCATTTTTTGTCTCTGTCAGAAAAATTGCTCAATCACTTTTCAAATGACATTTTTTTAAGGATTCATTTAATAAATTATCAACACAGATATCATCACAGATTTTCTGGACAAAAACTAAGATGAAAAGATTTTTTTGAACAAAAACACAGATTTCCTTTTGGCAACCCTGATTGTGTGCAGTTTCCGATACATGTCACTGCAAATAATAGCAGTGACATCTGATGGAACATGAATTCAGAAGCTTGACAAAATAATTAATTGTTTCGCTTAGCTGTAAACAGAAAATCGATGAAGAGAATCGAACATTACAAGTAGAGGGCTCACTGTCGAATTTCAGAACCTAGCACTGAAAAAAACTCGACGGTACCTCTATTTATGCTAAGAGATAAGCATTGCAAGTCCCTCCTACTTGAAGAATAATGCAGAAAAAAAACTGGGGTTGTATAAACCGTTCTATAGCAGAATTTTCCAAGCAGGAGGGACTTTCATAGCTAATCTAAAAGCATAAATAGAGGTACCGTCTGATAATTTCAGTGCTTGGTACAGAAAACTGTAATCTGTGCAGGAAAATCCTTTTTATCACCACAGAAACACCCCGTTCCCGTTTTCTTATGCAAAATAATGAATGTGCGTTCACAAAACGCA